TTAATCTCACACTCTTAAAGATCTGTTTCTATTACAAATCTTTATAAGCCTTTAAAGTTCAAATGTTTAATGTTCTGACACAGGATACACATCAACATAATACTCTATTTAGCAGGTCACATAATAAAAGGGCTTTCATGTACTGCTTTCTTTGTTGTGACAACACATATCCACTTTGGTAGGACAACAGGGTTCTCTGCTAATTAGAAAGCTAAAGCACAGCTACGAATGAGAGAGACTTCTGCTAACTCCTTTGAGTTGCAGTTTGGTTTCTATGCTTTGTATACAAAGGATAAACAGCAGAATGTTGCCAAGAGACTTGCAGTTCTGCAACCCCGAGTTTACAATTACGCCATCTGCTAAGTCGACATGAGCAAAATGCATGCCTTTTTGAAGAGTCTGGCTCAAGTCAGAGTTAGAGCAGAATGATAGAAAGTACATTTTTATTAGTGAGTCTAAAAATTTAACAGTTTTGAGGGGAGATTTTATAAACTGTAATGAGAAGACTTCTCCTCACTGTAAATCACCCAATTAGGTAACTAAGCAAATAAGCAGCTTTTAACAAAAACACAACAACACTGCTTTTGTAGATAAATGTGCCTGAGTTGCTTTTATTGTCAGTGACAATGAAATACAAAGGCCTCAGAAAAGGGCTATTTTCATTTTTGAAATTATTTAAAAATCCTGAACATAACAAAATCCATTATATTAAATTGGAGATTTCTTTTTGAGTAGTTCTAAATTCAGGGGGTAATTTGTAGTGGTAACACAGAGAGAAATAAATCTCCACTAACCAGAAGTCTCTCACTTCAGAACATATTAAACTACCAATAAGATGTTTAGTTGAATTTTGTTAATTATGCAAAGTGACTGTGTGGTTTAGAAGACATTATGGATAACATTGAGAAGAGACAGAATCCTAGAACACTGAATTGTGTTCATTACAAAACTTAGATGTAGACCAAGAGGGTGTTATTGGAACAGAAGAAGAAAACACTGCATGGATTATTATCAGAAAAGTTATGTGTCAGGGTTGTATCTTTTCCCCATAACTATTCAATTTGTATAAGGAGCAAATCATCTGAGACACTGGATTATATGAAGAAGAATGCAGCATTGGGATTGAAAAAAAGACTCATCAACAATCCGCATTATGCAGATAACAGAACCTTGCTTGCAGAAAGTGAAGAACACTTAAAGCACTTTCTGAAAAACATGAAAGACTACAGCCTTCAATGTGAGTTAAACATCAACAGGAAGAAAACAAAACCCCTCATTACTGGGCCAATAGGCAACATCATGACAGATTGGGGAAAAAAGACTGGGGTTCACAACTACCTCATAGTCCTTGGCTCAGCAATCAAAACTCATGGAAATATCAGTTAGGAAACTGAAATATGTGTTGTATAGGGAAAATCTGCTGTCAAGGACCTCTCCAAAGTAGTAAAGCACAAGAATATCGGTTTAAAGACTCAAGTTTGTTGATCTAAGCAATAAGTAGTCTTTTCAATTGCTTCTTATATATCTGATAGTCAGACAATGAATAAGGATGATCAAAGAAGAATCAATGCCTTTAAATTGTGGTTTTAGAGAAAAGTATGGAATCTTTTATGGATTGCCAAAAGAACAAATAATTTTTTCTTGGAACAAATGCAACTAGAGTGCTCTTTAGAAGCAAAGATCGTGAAACTTTATTTCACATACTTTGGCTATGTTGTCAAGAGTAGGGCCAGTCCTTGGGAAATGACATCATGTTGACAAGAGAGGAAGGTCAGAGAAAGAGAAGAAGATCCTCAACCAAACGGACTGACATAGTGACTGTAACAATGACACCGAGCACATGAGAAATCATGAGGATGGTGCAGGATAAGACAAGGTTCAGTTCTGTTGTTCATAGGTCACTATGAGTCGTTGATGACTCAATGGCACCTAACAGCAGCAATAACACCACAGGTTATGAAAATGGTTATAATTGACCATCATTAGGAATTACAATCAATTTTCCACCTTCTTGAAAAGGTATTTCAGTATTGTTTCTTTTACCCAGGAAGATACTTGAAATGGACCAAATCTAATTTTAATGTGCACTTCATAGTTTTGTTATATAATTTGTCTTCCAGATAGAGGAACAAAGTAGGTTGAATAGTTAGAGACAAATTCTGGGAAAACAAAGTACATACCCTTCAAGGAATTAGAATGACTTTTTAAGAAGGTGGTCCTAGCCGGAATGTGCACAATGGTGTTACTGTTGTTAGTCACTCTAAGTCAGCTCTAACTCACAGTGACCTTATGAATAATAGAAGGAAATGTTGCCACAGTACAAGTACTGTGTTCACTATCATCTTCCTTCACGATCTTTGACTAGAAACACTGCCAAGCTATCAGAAGGCTTTGACTCTACAGCAGTAAGTTTTTGAAGGTGAAAATCCAGCCTACATTCTGTGAGAGAAGCATTGCCAATCTTATTTTAAAAGTGAACAAACTGACATGATATGCAGGTCAATCTGCTCAAGGTAATGAATGAACAAGGATTACAATTCAGGTCAGTCTGATACTCACTTCATAAACTTTACCAAAATAAAAAAAAATCAAACTCATTAGCCTCTCCAAGTAGGTGATATAAATGATTCCCACTAGTTATCCATCATGTTCCTATCAGGAAACTTCTAAAAACAAATTACCTTTGTCATCTGTCACTAACATTATCAAACTACTTTTGTTCCTCTTATCCAGTCATCTCTACATCCTCGCAGGTATTTGGTCTAATATTTCTAGCCGGTAACTTACACAGAGATCCCTGGAAAATGTCCATCACTTCAACTTACTTTCAGGTTTTCATAGGACATTGGAGAATGTTGGGAATATTTGAAAATACCATTGTGCTTTTATCTGATTATGAAAGCAATCTATGATTGCTGAAGAAAGCTTAAAAAAACATAGAAAAGAATGACCCTAAAAATAGACTTGTACACCCTCTCACCATGCAGAAATTGTCATGTGAATATTCACACTAGCATGTTCTCATGCTATTAAAATATCTTGATAAACTTAAGTATGAAAGATGAAATAATATAAGGAAAATATAGTGTGAATTCCTCTTCAATTTTGATAGAGTTAAATGCATTTCAAAATTCAAAATCCATACCCCATCCAAGAAGAGATTGATGCATTTTATTATGTTAAAAAGAAGCCGTCGCATGACAAGCAAAACCAAAATCAAATCACACCCCACATAAAAAAAATCATAGACATAAAAACTACATAATTTCTAATTTGCTGCACCAAGAAGGATCTAATTTTATATTTGAATAAAAAATAGATAACCTGGATTCAAACACAAGGAAACATTAAACAGAACCAAACTGGTAAACATTCTAAAATAGAATTGGCCCATATTCTCTACAAAGAGCCTTGGTGGTGCAGTGATTAAGTGTTTGCCTGTTAACCCAAAAGACCAGCAGCTTCAGTGCACCATCTTCCCTGAGAGAGGAAGATATGGCAGTCTTCTTCCATAAAATTTAACTCAGCCCCTTGCTATTAAGTTAGTCTCAACTCACGGTGACCTTCCACCATGTTTCCAAAGCTGTGACTCTTTACGGGAGGCAACTGCCTTTTCCTTAAGGAATACCTGGTGGGTTCACACTGCTAACCCTTCGGCTAGAGCATGCCATCCCTAATACAACTACCTTCCTGTAGCTACTCTCTCTTAGAATCATCCTGCTTACCTGTCACTCTTCCCAGCCTGCCTTGAAGAGTGTACACCTGGCTAGGCAGCACTTAGGCACATCATCTTTGTCACCTGAGTTGCAAGATAGATCACCTGCAAGGGGTCACCTCAAACCAAAGAGAGAGAGTAAGTGTTGGTCCATCATACAGAAGAGAAAAGAAGACCTTCAGTGAGCTGGAAGGACACCGTGGCTGCAATGGACTCCAGCAGAGGAAGTGAGGACACCGCAGAATATGCAGGGCTTTCTTCTGCTGGACACCGGGCAGCAATGAGTCAGCTCCACGAAGAGCAACAATGCCTCACTCCCAGAAGTCATCTCCACACCAAAGCAGAAGATGAACATAAAATGTGATAGCCTGTGTAACCCATGAAAGTCAAAGGGGAAAAGAAATCTCACTTACTAACACATTTCTTTATCCAATCCCAATTTATATCCAGAGGAGAAACTACAGAAACAAGGAACAGAATGAAATTCCTTTTCAAAGGTAAAACAGAGCACATCTGCTTGCATTCTGGTAAGTTCATAATTTTTTTGTCTTCCAAAGGCTGATAGCATATAAAAAAGATCTCTTAGAGCAACACCAGGAGGTAACTCAAGTACAGGGAAACACACCACAGGAAAAACACAAACAGTCTCTCAATAGCACACCAGGTTGTAATTACTTCTTTTATGTTCAAGCTGAACGATTCCTTTATTATATATGTGCTGATATTTTGGATAGAGAAAGACAGGGGAAACAGTTTGCTACAGGTTTTATTTTTTCTTATATAAAGTTTACCCTTGGAGGGATATTAACATAACACAAAATACAAAAGAGGGTTTTAACTACCTCAACAAGAAGTTCATAGTTTGCATTGTTTATCCATCATTAGAAGGCCTAATGTTGAATTCTAATATTTCTGAAGTAAAGGACTTATCATTTAAAGTTCCAATGGTTCACAAATTCATGTTATTGTTCTGTGTCATAGCGTCGATTATAACATAGCAACCCTATGCATAATAGCTCTGAAACCTGCCCTATCCTGAACCAACCACATTATCTTTACCACACCTATCCTCATTACCCTATTTCGAATAGAATAAAGAAATGGTATTTTGGAAGCAGAAGCAGCATCCACTTCCTAAATAACATGCCTATGAACTTTGAGAAACAATAGTTATTGAAAGGCTTCAGGTCTTTTGTTCACAGGATCGTTATGAATCATTCTCAACTCGACAGCAATAAACAACAACAATACAATCTTGGGAGATGAATAGGAATTGGGGTTTTACCTGAATAAGCTTTTCCATTTCTTTCACTGGGAGATGGAGAACTTTCTGGAATGGTTCCAGGTAAGCTTCCCATCTGGGCTTGTGTTTCCAGGCCTTCTGTACCGTCCACAGCATCTTTGGGAAGGGCAGCTTTACTGTGGGGTCTACCATCATCCTCAGAATGAGTCCCACCACCAGCAGCCTGTGGAAATGGAAAAACTTTGTGAGAGATAATATTTCTTAGAAAGGGGTCCTTAGAAGATGAAAGTTATACTGTAGGATCTGCTTTGTGAGTTAACAAGGATCTGTACTAGATTGCCTAATTCTCCCTAAGAGAACCATGTTCTAATCTCGGAAAAAGACCAAAAAAGAATAAATGCCTTTGCATTGTGGCATTGGACTACTGAATTTTCCAAGGACTGCCAAAAGAACAAATAAATCTACATGAAATTAAATGCAACCAAAGTGCTCCTTGATGGCAAAGATGGGAAAACTTGGTCTCACATACATTGACATGTTATCAGGAAGGACCTCTTTATAAAAACATAGTATAATTGGAAAAGTGAAGGGTCAGTGAAAGAGAGGAAGACCCTCAACAGGATGGATTGATCCAGTGACTGCGACAATGGTCTTTAAGTATATCAGAGAGCATGAGACTGGAGCAAGAGGATAGGGCAGCTGTGAGTCATAGCAGACTTGACAGCACCTAAAAATCACAACCATTCTAGAATAAATAAATGTTATCTTACCTAATAGAAAAAGAGATTTTGTAGATAGGATTAAATGAAGGATCTCAAGATGAGAAGATTATCCTGGAGTATCCAAGTGAACCCAAAATGTAATCACAAGTGTTTATATGAGTGAAACAGGAAAATTTGACTGCAGATGAGGAAAAGGTGCCATAAACGTGGAAGCAGATAGAGATCTAAAGATGTTATGCTGCTTGTTTGCTGGCTCCAAAGATCAAGGAAGGGGCCAGGAGCTAAGAAAGACAAGAAATGAAGCTAGGAGCTAGGAAAGGTTGTTCTCTTCAGTATTTCCTAAACGAATCAAGCCTTTGACTTTGGTCCATGAACTAGATTTCAAATTTCTGGCCTCTTGAATTCTAAGGAAATAAACTATTCCTAATTTGTTAGAAGAGGCTGTGGCACTAGGGATATTATAGCTAATGTCAGATGGATCTTGGCTGAAAGTAGAAGGTACTAGAGGAATGTCTATCTGTGTTTCATTGATTATGTAAAGGCATTTGACTGTGTGGATCACAACAAACTGTGGCTGACTCTGAGAAGAACGGGAATCCCAGAACACTTGATTGTGCTTATGCAAAACTTACACTTGGACCAGAAGCAGTCATCAGAACAGAGCAAGGAAACACTTCATGGTTCAAAATTGGGAAGGGTGTGCATCAAAGATGTGTCCTATCTCCATATGTTTTCAATCTATATGCAGAATAAATTATCCGGGAGGCTGGGCTCTATGAGGAGAAGTGTGACATCAATTGTGCCTTATGCAGATACCAAAACCCTGCTTGCTGAAACTGAGGAGGATCTGAAATACTTGCTGCAGAAAGTCAAGGATTTCAGCCTTCAATATGGATTGAAGCTCAACTTCAAGAAAACAAAGATTCTCACCAGTGGGCCAGCTTGCAGCATCATGATGGATGGTGAAGAGATTGAGATTATTCACAGCTTCAGTTTGCTTGGCTCCACAATCAACAATCTTGACACCAGCAGCCAGAAAATTAAAAGACGTAGTGTGATGGGAAAGTCTGCTGTCAGAGACTTCTTCAAGGCACTGAGGAGCAACGATGTCTGTCTGGAGACTAAGGTGGGCCTGATATAGGCCATGGTCTTTGCCATTACTTGCTATGCATCAGAGAGCTGGACAATGACTATGGAGGATAGAAGGAGAATTGATGCCTTTGAGCTTTGATGCTGGAGAAGAGTATTGAATATACTGTGGATTGCTAGAACAAACAAGTTTGTCCTGGAGAGGGTGAAGCCAGGCTACTCCTTGGAGGCAAGGATTCTGAAGCTTCATTTGACATACTTTGGACATGTTGCAAAGACAGACCAGTCATTGGAGAGGGATGTCATGCTTTGGAGGGTGGTGGGACAGTGCAGGAGAGGAAGACCCTCAATGAGATCGATTGATTTCGTCACTGGGGTAATGAGGATAGGCATGTGTGAGACAATAAGATTGGCAAAGGATAGAGCAGGGTTTAGAGCTGTTGTACATAAATAAGGTCACTATGAGTTGCAAGCGACTTGATGGCACATAACAACAATTTGTTATAGCCACAAACATGAAGTAAAACAGTATTTACTCCGAATCTCTCAGGGACAAGCTACTCTATTGAGCATTCTGGAGACACCATGATGAACGAATGCATTAGCATCAAATGTGTAAAGTAGATGTATTTCTGGATTTAAAATGAAGGAAAATCATTCATATTTTAAATAGAAAACAATATTATTTTTGCTGAGAGTAAATGCATGGAGATTCATTGTAAAGAAAATTAAGTAATACAGAAGGAAATCTAGTAGAGATTATTATAATACAAAACATCTACGAGACAGAGGAAATATTAACATCTTAGTATATCACTTCACATATGAAGAGAGAATACAACACTGGCACATTCCCTTCTTAATTTTAAACCATACAGTGTTCCTAGGCTTAGCCTAGGGTTTAAGGCTGGTGGTGGCTTAAAGCCCCAAAGGGAGAGGGGAGAGAAGGCGGCCATGTCCTTCCGGGATGGCTCCACCCAGGGTTTCTGTGACTTGTTGCTGCCTGAACATGGTGGTCCATGTGTGTGCGCAAGTAATGGCAACTATTTTTGGGGAGAGTGCTTTTTCAGGCTTGTGTTTGATGTGCAGGACTGCTCTTGCCCCAAGAACGAGGTCCTCGAGGCTTGGCCTAGGGTTTAAGGCAGGTGGTGGTAAAGACCCTGAAGGGGGAGGAAAAGGAGGCCATGCTCTTTCCTGGATGACTCCACCCAGACTCTCTGTGGCTTCTTGCTGCTGGAGTATGACATGGTGGTCCTCTTGCGCAAGTAATCGCAAGTTTGTGGGGTCTTGTGTTTCCTTTGGGCTTGGGTTTGATATGCAGTACTGCTCTTCCTCCCAGGAGTGAGCCCCTCGAGGCTTGGCCTAGGGTTTAAGGCAGGTGGTGGCTTAAAAGCCCCAAAGGGAGAGGTAAGAGGCTGGAGCTTCCTGAATAAAACAAGCCTGGAAGCAGGAGTGGCATCCACTTCCAAAATGGCTTGCCTCAGGAAACTCAATGAACGGTGCTCAGGCCTTTCGTTCGTTGGCACTATGAGTTGTCTATGACTTGACGGCACCTAACAACAACAACAACAACAACAACAACAACAACACTGTTTCCTTGAGGGAGCTCTGCTGGCCTGGTGGCAATAATTTGCATTGCAATTCTTGAAGTCTGTTCTATCTGAATTTAAAAACCAACTCAGGAACAGGTTTGAGGACTTGAACACTAATGAAAGAAGACCAGATGAACTCTGGGAAGATATCAAGAATACCATCCACAAGTAATGCAAAAGGACATTACAAAGACAGATGAAGAAGAAGACCAAAATGGATGTCAGAAGAGACCCTGAATGCACTTGAGAGCCAAGAAGCCAAAGCAAAGGGAAGAAATAAAAAAGTTATGGAGTAGAATAGATTTCAAAGGACAGCTTGGGAAGACAAAGCAAAGTATTAAAATGAAATGTGTAAAGACTGGAATCTGAAAATCAAAAGGGCTGAACTCACTCAGCATTTCTTAAACAGAGAGTCGTAAAGAATAAATTCAAGCCCCGAGTTGCAATACTTAAGGATGCTATGGGCAGAATATTGAACAATCCAGGAAGCATTAAAAGAAGATGGAAGGAGTATAGAGAGTCACTGTACCAAAACGAATTGGCTGACACAGAAGAATTTCAAGAAACAACATAGGATCAAGAGGCAATAGTGATTAAGGAGGAAGTTCAGGATGCTTTGAGAGACTTGGCAAAAAATAAAGCTCCAGGAATTGATGGAATACCAAATGACATATTTCAATAAACAGATATTGCCATGTTGTGCCAAGAAATCTGGAGGACAACTACCTGGCCAATTGACTGGAAGAAATCCATATTTATTCCCATTCCCCCCAAAAAGGTGACCTGACAGAGTATGGAAATTAACAAACAATATCACTAATGTCACACACAAGCAAAATCCTGCTGAAGATTATTTGGAAATGACTGGAACACTACATTGACTGAGAACTACCAGAAATACAAGCTAGGTTTAGAAGAGGTCATGGCACTAGAGATATTATTGAAAATGTCAGATGTATCTCGGTAGAAAGCAGAGAGTACCAGAGGGATATTTATCTATTTGCATTGACTATGCAAAAGCATTTGATTGTGT